GGCAAATCCCAAGGGAGGCCTGGACCTGAAGGCAGACTAACGTGCATGTTTTTGATCTGTGGGAGCAAACCCCTGAGCCGTAGTGCTGCCACCTTTACATTGTACTGCTGGAAATGATGACAATGAGCTGCACTGTCTAACGTCTGCAGAATACTCATGTGTTTGAATTAAATGAGGCAGTCTGGAGCTGAGAGTGACAGACAAACTCTATACAGACATCTAAAAAAGTTAAATCTGGTCCTCTGGACATTCAAAAAAACAAAACAAAGCAAATCAACAAAAAATGTAGAAACGTTTCGTCTCTCATCCGAGAGACTTCCTCAGTCTGAGGTGCTGTATTCAGCTCAGTCTCTTAAATAGCACCTTCTCAGAGTGGATCATCCAGTTTTGCTGCTGACAACCAAAACCAGCTGATCACATGCTCAAGAAGGACCATCAGCCTAACAATGGATCATTAGCACACTGATGGCTGTTTACTATTCACAGAGGGCTGAGTGATACTAGCAATCACAGCATTGTAAGAGGGGGACAGTTGAACCCGGAGGCCTCCACCCCTGTTTAATGATGGACGGTTTCTTTTCACAAAGATGGCCTCCTTTACTCCTCTCTCAAACCATCGTTCCTCTCTGTCCAGGATGTGAACATCTTCATCCCTGAAAGAGTGACCGCTGGCCTGGAGATGAGTGTAGACCGCAGAGTCCTGGCCTGATGATGTTGATCTTCTGTGCTGGGCCATCCTTTTGGCCAGTGGCTGTTTTGTTTCCCCGATGTAAGACTGATCACAGCCCTCCTGACACTGAACAGCATACACAACATTACTCTGTTTGTGCCGGGGGACTGGATCTTTGGGATGAACCAGTCTTTGCCGTAATGTATTTTGGGGTTTAAAAGCCACTGGGACGTTGTGTTTAGAAAATAAACGTCTCACTTTCTCTGATACTCCCTCAACATATGCAATGACCACTGGTCTGGGTCTGGGTTCCTCCTTTTCACCTAGGAACCCAGACCCAGACCAGTGGTCATTGCATATGTTGGAGGCCATCTTTGTGAAAAGAAATCGTCCATCATTAAACAGGGGTGGAGGCCTCCGGGTTCAACTGTCCCCCTCTTACAATGCTGTGATTGCTAGTATCACTCAGCCCTCTGTGAACAGTAAACAGCCATCAGTGTGCTAATGATCCATTGTTAGGCTGATGGTCCTTCTTGAGCATGTGATCAGCTGGTTTTGGTTGTCAGCAGCAAAACTGGTTGATCCACTCTGAGAAGGTGTTATTTAAGAGACTGAGCTGAATACAGCACCTCAGACTGAGGAAGTCTCTTGGATGAGAGACGAAATGTTTCTACATTTTTTTGTTGATTTGCTTTGTTTTGTTTTTTTGAATGTCCAGAGGACCAGATTTAACTTTTTTAGATTTTTCTACCTGGATTATTGAGCATGCATCAGGATATCTATACAGACACACCTCGCCTCTCCTCCCAGCAGGCAGCTCGTCCCAACATCCGCCCCACACCGTTTCACTCAATATTTCCACCTAAAATGACGATCATGCATCAAGTTTAAGTGAAGACAGTCGAGACGTTTTCCGTCGACAATTCAATTCAGTTCAATTCATTTTATTTATATAGCGCCAAATCACAACAAAGTTGTCTCAGGGCACTTTACAGGAACATTCACATAAAAGCCAATTAGTAAAGTTCTCTATCTAAGGAATCCAGTAGACAAGTTGAATCTTGGCTTCAAGACAAGACTGCCATCCTCTCTGGGAGCACTCTAGGAACGTTTTCTCTTTTTTTTTTTTGTGGGGAGGAGGGGGGGGGGGCTGGTGCAGTGGCACACCATCCCAACGAGCCAATGTCATCCAGTGAGCTCTTCTTTGAGTCTGTAAGCCACTGACTCAAACTCCACATTTAGGTTTTTTCTTAATCAGGAGCTTTTCAAAAAAAGGCATTTACATGTTTTATAATGATGTTTATTTATTGTTTGTTTTTGCTTGTTGTTCTAGCTTTGTGTGAGTGTTGGAGAAGCTCAGAGTGTGAAAGTCAGCATGGATGTATTTGTGTGGTATATTTTGCTCTCACTAAGTATTCATTTTCTGTTTGTAAAAAAAATCAACTAATTTAGAAAAATGTACACTAAGTTTGTCACCAGAACAAGAACAAATTAAGGCAATTGTCTTGAAAATTAACATTTCATGGTAATAATGTTTAAGATGGTGCAAAAACAGAATTAGTCCCAAGTCTACTGCACAAAAAGAAACACAATGCAAATTTATTAAAGTCTGTTTATATCACTTGTTTTTATGTTCTTTGTGCATTGAAACCAGTAGATGCAATAAAATGCAGTAATAATCAGTACAAAGTTTGTGTACATTTAATGTCCTGTTGTGAAATTTTAAAAAGCAATCCACCTGCAGAAATGTTGATTTTTCTCATTGTTTTTTTATATATATATTTTTAATCTGCACTTTGAGGTCTGTTTTTGAGTACAGTCTTGCGAGAATAGGTTTTCTCACAAAAATACTTCTTTTTTTGTTGTACCATCAAGTCTAAACCATTAAAACCTTTCTGCTTTTTACAACAATTTACTTGGTCGTTTAGTAATCCAACACTTTGGGGTGCCGTTTGTAAAGTTACACAGTCTAAAATTAACAGCAATATTTTGGTTTATTTATCCTTTCAAAAAAAAAAAGTTTTTGTTTTTTTCAAAGTCATATTTTCACCATGTTATTCATACATTTATAAA